GGGCCGGGCCGGCAGGGGGCGCCCGCGGGCGAGGCCGCCGCGCGGAGGAGGAAGGCGAGTTAGAGACCCTGCGTCCTCCCTGGGGGGGCGCGCTCCTTTCCAGTGTTTGAGTGGCTCTGAAATTGGGGTGCACTCGTCATCAAAGGCGAGGAGGAGCTTCACGGGCTGCATTTTCTTTCTGTTTTAGGATGAAGCCAGTAAGACAGTGGCGGGTCTTCCGGATGCGCTGAGCCAGGGTAGTGACCCCCGCCTCCCCGGCCTCCCTATCAGCGCCGCGCTGGCCCAGGGGGGTCCCGCAGCCAGGGAGCTCGGCCCGAACGTCCCTCTGTCCAGCATCCTGGAGAGGCCTCGTCCCAAAGCTCCAGGATGGCTGTGTGCGGTATGCCGGCTGCCGGCTCTCTCGGGGGAGCCCCGCGAGGAGGCCTTCTCCGGACGAGGCGGCTTCCTGTAGACGGACTTCCAGAGCCGCCTGGTCTTTCCTGTCGCTGCTCCTCCGTGAGCCCCACGTCACAGGTCGCCGCGCGGCAGGAAGTCTGGAAACGGGGTTGTGTGCCTGGGCGCCGCGGTGGCCCCGAGTACACCGGTGTTCTGTCCCCAGGAGGGTGGTGTGGGCCGGCACCCAGCGCCCAGCCGCACCTGCCCGCCTGCAGGTACTAAGCGGGCGGCCGGCAGCGCAGAGCCTGGTGCGCCCAGGCCTCGGGGAGCCTCGCAGGCGGCACGGAAGGTTTGTCCCACGGAAGACCCGGTCACGAGGGGGGAAGGAAATGTCTGCCAGCCAGCATCCCTCGCTGCCCCGCGGGGACGGTGAGGCTGGGTCACAGGCGTCCACTTCCTGTGTGGGACCACCTTGTCCCCACTCCTGCGGAAAGGCCGCGCTGGGCCAAGGGCGAGCCACCGACGGGCCCAGCAGGTCTCAGGAGAAAGTCCCGGGCGAATGAGGAGAACAGGCGGCCAGCCCCTGGGCAGGGCAAAGGCAGGGCCAGAGGACAGAGGTGGGGAGAGCCTCATGGCCTTCATGTCCGCATTGGGGGTCCCAGGAATTCAGGGCTGTGCTGCTGCCCGGCCCTAGGAATCTGTACCCTTGGAAACCCTCAGGTTCTACTGCGGATGGGACGGACGCCTGCCTTCCGGGTTCATACTCCAGCTGGTCTCACGGGGCGACGCCTGCACCCTCTCCCCTGGCTATTGGTTTACGGAGTAATCTCAGGGTACGAAGACGGTATTTCCCAGAACATCTTAGGGTGGATTCAAAAGCAAACATGCAGCAGGGAGCCATGCAACACCTTTGAACTCATCGGAGGGACAGCTGCAGCAGGCAGAACGTCCATGAGACATCAATGAGCGCAACGTCAGATCCCCGGATGCTGCGTGGGGCCACAGACCTTGTCCACCCCGGGACACCGGCCCTGGACCGCTGCTTCTACTCTTGGGGAGGGAGAGAGAAGCCTCCATCGTGTGTAGGTCATCTTGTGTTTCAATTTCCTGGCACAGGCAGCTGAGCCTGATCCTAACAAACGCAGTTAGTATGGGAAAAATACAGCTGGGCATGGTGGCACATGCTTGTAATTCCAGCACTCTGGGAGGCTGAGGCAGGAAGGTCACAAGTTTGAGCCCAGCCTGGGCAACCTAATGAGATGCTACTTTAAAATTTAAAAAAAAAAAAAAAAAAAAAGTAGGGAAAGGGGGCCTGGGGATTTCTCTCTGTGCACAGGCCTGTGTTCAGCCCCCAGAACCCCCCAGATAAAAGTCACCACTGAATTTCCTGTTTAATGAGAGGATCGCTTTCCTACGCTTTTAGAGATGCAGCAAGTGTTAGGTGGGCAGCGGCGTGGACTCTGGAGTTGCAGAACAGGGCCCAGCCCCGCTGTGCTGCGAGCTCTGCCCCGGCGACCACTCGGTCTCTCCGAGCCCGTGCGGCGCTATGCAGGAATGAGGCGCCGCACCGCGCGAGAGCTCCTTGTTGCTTCGCTTGCCTTCCCTCGCCTTCGCGCTGAGCGTTTTATTTTACACACCAACAGCAGTCGGTCCTGGGAAGTCAGTGGCGTTTGGGTTCAGGCCTACACAGGCCGCCAGCTACTCTAACCTTAGGAGTACGCGGTGGGCTCCGCGAGGCAGAAACACCAGAGCTGGTGCTGCAGGGAGCCCAGGAGAGGGCGGGAGCAGACCTCCTCTACCTCAGATACGGTGCGGCTGTCCTGCTGAAGCCCAGCCCGGGGTCCCGTGGGGTCATCTCCCCCAAGCCCCGAGCAGGGGCTGCCCGGCAGGGCTTCCAGCCTGGGCCCTGCAGGCTGACACCTGGGGATGGCTCTGTGCTCTGGGTAGAGCAGGAAGCCCGAGCCAGCGGGCGCGACACAAACATCTCGGAACCCAGGTGCCGGTACAGGGCCGGGCCGCCATGCCATGGCAGAGCTGCGCTGCTGTCTCGGAACGCCTTGGGTCGGCCAGGTCCATCCACCCCGCCCCGCCCTAGCATGAGGACAGCGTGCAGGGGCTCCAGTGTGTCAGCCCCCTGGCCGGTCCCCGGCTAGTGAGGGAGACAGCCGGCTAAGTGACAGGACGGGGAAGCGGACCACCCAGGGTGGAATGGCGGCAGGATTCCCACCCTGGCCAGGGCCCAGGCCTCTGTTACACGCAGGGGGAGTCTTCCAACTGTCTTTCTCGGGCCCCCCTGACAGGGCCACGGGGCCATGGAATTCGAAGTCTGCCAAAACAGTTACATCATCTTAGAGGCAGAGGGATCAGAGACTTGGGTTCAGTTCGCCTCCCCGCACCTGGAGCTGAGTGTTCCCGAGTGGGCAGCCAGGGTCACAGCAGTTAACGGCAGAGCCGGGCCGGGACCAGGCCCCCAGCCGCGCTGGAGCTCCGTCCCACAGCACTGGTGGGGGCCAGGCCTCCTCCTGTCCGCTGCATCTCAGCATGCGCATCCAGTTATCAACCACGGGGGCAGCTCCCACCTTACACCCCAATCCTATCCGGATCAAAAGGCAGAGACCCTCGAGGACCCTCGCCGCCCAGCTCTGAACCCCACACACAGGAAGTCAAGGCAGAAATGGGGGAAAGGGCTTACAAACCCATCGGGAGAGGGAGGAAGCACACCTCAGGAAGGAGGATTCTGGTTTTTAAAAACTCAGGCAGCAGCTGAGAAATACATGGGCCCGGCTTCCGGCCACACACAGAGCGTGCGGGGCGCCGAGTGTCCTCCACCCGCTTCCAGAACCGCCACGCCGGGGACGAGGAGGGAAGCCCTGAGACCAAGGCCTGGCACTTAAGATCTACAAGCGGCCAAGCAGGCGTTTCCACTAGGTAGCGGTCTAGTGCCACTCCACGAGCACTTACACGGTGCCTGCCGGGGCCTTGTCTATGGCTCTGATTCCTGCGTGCGTGCGTGCGCGCGTGCAGATTTATTACAAGGCCTTCCCACCGAGCTGCGCCCCCAGCATGTTTTAAATTTTCAAAGGCGGGCTCTCAGTACGTTGTCCCGGCTGGGCTTGAGGCTGTGACCCCGCTGCCTCCGCCTCCCAGGGCGCTGGGCGTAGAGGAGTGCGCTGACACCTGCAGTCTGGTTCTCACATTCAGGGGCAGAGAGGCCGACGGGAAGGAGAAGCCGCGAAGTGACATGGGGCAGCCCGCGTGGTGCCCGGGTCCGCACCCAGCCCCCGAACTGAGCAGGCCTCTTTCCAGCTCGGCAGCGGTGCTTCGGGAGACACACCTGGGTGGAGACGGAAGGTGCTGGAACTCGGTGGCCCCGCCCTCTGGGAAGCAGCCATTAGGCGCCAGGGGAGCTCCGGTCCCCACAGCCAACACCAGTGGACCGAGGTGCGTTCGTGCACCATCTTCATCCGGAGCCATCCAGAAACAGGCAGGTGTTCACACTGCCGAGATGCCCGGCTGGGCTCGCTCGCTCGCCCGCTCACCGCTGTCTCTCGTCACCCGGGGCCCTCTGTGCTCCGTGTCTGGTGACCACCGCCGCTGGCACTGGCCCACAGGGCACCCCCCTCGTCCTGGGTGGCGCCCAAAGCCAGGGAGAGCAGATGCGCGTTTCCCTGGGGTCGCAGGGCCGTCTCTCCACCAAATCCCATTTGGGTCTGAGCCGTTCTGCTTGGCTGGCTCGCCGGGCCTGAGCACGAGGTGCAGGGGACCGCACGGCCTTTCTCCCGGCTCCGACCGGATTTTCATCTGATTTCTGCCTCTCACCTTGAACACGCCTCTGTGTCCCTTACGCCGGGCCAGCGAGTGTCGGGGTGCAGGGAAAGCAAGCTGCCTGTCCCAGCAGGGCCAAGGCTGACTCCCCCAGCCTAGAGCCCCCGGGCAGGTGGCTGGGCAACCCCAGCTTGCCTGGGGGCAGGGTTCAGTTGGGGGGCGCTTGGCTTCTGCTGTGTCAATGAACCCAGCTGCGCCAGGGGCCGCCAAAAGTCAAAGTAGGAACGTGCAGGCGCTCTGGACCTCCCCACACGCAGACGGACCAGCACCCCGAACAGGCGGGTGTTAGACCCCTGGGGCCTGTGCGCAGCCTCCACCCGAACTCAGTGCTCGAACCACTCTTTCTTTTCAACAAAATACGCAGCTGACCGTTCTGCCAGTGTTATCTGATCACCCTTCCCTTCCTGGCTTGGTGGGCCCCAGCGTGGACCAACCCACAGCCCTGGGAAGGCCCTCTCACCACGCACTCCTAAAGGCCACTTGGCACGTCTCTGAAACCCCGTCCCGAGGAGCGGCTCTCCTCCCACAAACAGATGTACAGAATATGCAGCGAAAACAAAATAGAGAAAAATGCGAAACTCCCCCAGGCGGGCAATGGCTTCAGTTTAAGGCCCACCTCCCCGGCCCCAGCCTGCCGCCTGGGCTCCCTCACACAGCTGGACCCCTCAGAACAATGGTCCCCAGCGCTCACGTCTCTGTTTATAGGAACACAGGAAGTCGGAAGTGTTTCTCTAAGTTCAAATATTTATGGAATTTTGCCGCACTGGTCGCTTTGCAGGAGATGTTAACCTGACACTTGATGGCACATTTAACCACTTTAAACAAACAAAACACAACCCAAAGCAAAAGCCACTTTGGGGGGCCACAGGAAGAGACGGCGGGCTGGTGCTACCGCCCGTCAGGCCCTTCCTTCCAGTCTGAGCTGGGAAATGCTGTCCACAGCAGTCGGCTTCCTTAGAAGCCCCCTCCGGGACACTGCAGGAGCTGGGCGCGCGGCTGTCAGGGAGCGGCCAGGGTCTGGTTCCGGAGTCCGCGAGGCTGCAGGGCGGGACCTGCCGCCGCAGCCGGGTGGGGCAGAGAAAGCTCTGCGGAGAACTCCCCGGGGCCAGAGCCCAGACCAGGCCTCCTGCAAGCCAGTCAGGACAGCAGTGCGCTCAGCCGTATGTTGGGGTCTCGGGAAAAGAAATCCACGCAGTAGGAATAACCCAGAACTAGTCCTGAAGCTCCAACGGGGCAAGCCGCACCTTTCGGGAGGAGTCCTCTGGGGCCTGCAGAAACAAAAGGCTGAAAAATGGCAACACAAATATTTCACTTCAGCTACTCACAAGTCCCTTCAAACAAGGGCGACCAGAGCCAAATGACCAGCATTCTTTCTTATTGCAAATCCAGGCACACATTTCACTTGTACCTCCGCAGACAATTTTTAGCTTAAATGGCCAAAATTAGAACTTTTAATTTTATAAACTCCAAATTATTGAACACCAACAGGAAATCATGTGTACGAGAAAAACAATGACACACACAAAGTATGAAGACTTTTTTTCAGCCATAGTTGTACACTTATGAGAAACAGAAGTAATGAAAAAAGAGTATTTAAAACCTATGGGAAATCTATTTCTTATTAAAGACTATTATTCACCTCAGAATATTAAAGTTCACAAGTGAGATTTTCAAGTTACTAACTTTTACAGTCACTTTTTCTCCCTAAAACTTGACATACACGCTTCAATCCAGAAAAAGGTAGAAGTTTAGGTTAAAATATTAGTAATTTTAACAAAATTCAGAATGGACTCATAAAGATGATACAGCAATTTGGAGTAAAACAAAAGAGAAGAGCATTCCATTTTGGGCTGTTTGCGATGTGCATAAGGGAAAACTTTGTTTTTGAGGGTGCTCTTCTCTCTCCTGAGGAATATGCTAAAATTTAACATTTTGTTTAAAAGAGGCCTTTAGATGATGTCAACAAAATTTAAGAGGAAGTCAGAACAGTGTATACACACACACACACATTCTTTCATTTGCCCCTAAAGAGGAAGTGCAAGCCCATGGAGACCAACTCCCCAACCACAAGATAGTGAGCACCGCTTCCCCACAGGGTCCTCCAGGGAAGAGGCTCGGCCCGTCTTACTGCTGCTCTGACAGCTAAGGCTCCTCCGACCTTCACAGGGGCCGGGTCCTCCAGAGATCCCCACGAGGAGCAGGGAGCCGAGACAGCAGGCGGAGTGTGTGGAAAGCCCTGCCGGCATCACCTGGATTCTGTTCTGTTCTGCACAGTCCAAACACACAGGCTCCTTAGGAGCCTGGGTACAGCTAAGAACAGGCCGGGAAAGCCAGGCGGCTCAGGGCCAAAGGACAGAGCAGCCAATAGTTCACATTTTAGGAATTTGAAATGTCCAGAAATAAAGTGGTATCTCAAAAAAGAAAAAAAGAAAAATTAAAAGGGGGAAGAAAAGGAGGAAGAAAGGAAAGAAGGAGACAGGAATTATTTAGAGCGTGTGAGCTAGCAAGAATACCTTACTCAGAAAGTAGGGACAAACACATGGAAATACACAAACTGTGCCGGTTAATTCGGTATTAAACACAGTAGGATACATGGGCCTCATAATGCTTCTGTAATGGCACATACTTATACATGTGCCAAGCACATCTAAACACATATGAGGCTAATTCAGGATCATTCTAGATTAAAAATACACAGTACAGATTTCTTTAAAGAGCCAGGCTGGGGGGGGGGGTCCGTGAAGGAAAGGCCAGTCTTGGAGCAGATCCTGACGGACACACAAAGATAAAATTACTTCGGGTTTTTTTGGTAATTCTATTTGAGATGGCAGCGAAACTGTCAAAGGATGTTGACTGGATGTTGAGAGGGTTATTTTCAAATACAACCTCACAGCTACATTTGTAAAAAAAAAAAAAAAATCTTTGCAAAACAAGAAGTTTCTTAACCCCATGATCAGTCTACACTGACATTTCCTAAAATGAAATAAAGTGGCAGGGTGAGGCGGGTCGGGGACATGGGCTTCAGGTGAAAGCAAACCCTCTCCGAGCTCCTCTCACACAGAAGGGAACACTCTTAAATAAAATAACACTTCCTTAAAAATCTGCCGCCTAACAACTGTTTACATCATAGAAAAATAGCAATTTTGTAAAAAGAAATATAGTCACTTTGTTAAAATGGTCTCTTTTAAACCAGCAATTATTTTTCATATAAAGTATTTCTAAACATCCATACAGAAAATAAAAATAGATAATACTGAGTGCAAAGCAGACAATGGCATATTTGCAAATGATCAAAGCATTTCATTGCCAGATAAATAATACTCTTTAGTATATTACAATACAAGTGTCATCTTTTAGGAATTCAAAGATATTGCTTTTATTCTCTGACCGCAAGGTACTGGTAAGTCAAGTCACTTCCAGCAGCACAATGCCAAGGTGACTGGAAATGGGTCACACATATTCACACACGCTGTCCCTCAGCTCGAAGAGCCCCCCGGCCAGGCAAAGGCCCATGCCTCAGGCCTTGGGCAAGGGCACGGACCGCAGCCTCACACACGCACGCAGAAGCTGAGGGTGCTCACGGTCCTTTCAGGCTCACTCACGACGTCGTCCACATTTCAGCTCTCACACGGACACAGATCAGCACCTCACTATTTACCAGCACGGCCTCCTCCTCCACAAAGTAGGGTTTATGTGAAAACTCTTTTCTAAATATAAGCACAGATCTTCATGCTATGAAAACAGATGGTTTCAGCGGACTGTTGCTTCATCTCCACAAGGCTACACAGACGCCAGTGGCGGGGAACCGGGACACTCAAACCCAGCAGCTTCCAGCTTCTGCCTGGGCCAGATGGGAGGCCGGACTGGAGCGGGGAAGACTCAGCCAGCAAACCAAGGCGGCGCCGGGCCTCGCTGGCATTTCCTCACACTCTCTCCACTCTGCTGGGGTCATAGGAATCTGTAACAAAGGAAAGTAAATGGACAAAATCAGTGGTACATTAGACTGCTACATTTTCTGTTTGATCCTCAGACCTTCAATACATCTGTTAAAACAGCAAATTTCACAAGTTTATAAAATTCATTTTTAGACATTTCAACAGTTTTTTTTAACTAAAGAGCAAACAGCTAGTGTTAAAGAGGCTGTTTTCAGGAAACACGTACGGTCCTTACTCAAACACAGATGGAAAAATATAAGTTGCTTAATACTGCGATGGCCCCTGGCTGTTGTTCAACTAACTATAAATACAGTGCTTATTAACCAGCAGTAATGCCCTTGGCTGATGCTAAGCCGGTTCCTTTTCTTTTCTAAATCACAGCTCCAATGAAAATTACTTTATAGTATGCATCTCCGGGCCCAACTGCTATCCCTTCCGGGACTGGGGACCATGACACCCTGGCCACGTGGCCAGCATCATCAGGGTTCCTGTCTCCAAATGCCACCAACCCGGCTGGACGTGCACCTGCTGGCACCTTTTCAGAATTTCAGACCTGGGTTGTGTCTGAGTCTGGGCCACCATGTCCATCCCTTCCACAGCCTGTACTAGAAAATCCCAAACAGCCCCGATGACCTGGACTTCCAAAACAGGAGCCACACAAAAGGGCAAGAGCAGTAACTGTGAGCTGCAAAGAGCACGGGTAAATCAGAGGGCCTGACGCACGGGGCTTCGCGATCCAGGCGACCTGAGGCTCACACGTGCCTCCTTTGGTTACAACTTCCTGTCACACTGGCCCAGAGGGTTCCTAACTTTTGAAGAGAACATGCTTAAGAAATCTGGAAGGGATACAGCCATTAAACATTGTGGAGAGTTCTCAAAAAGATTAAAAGTAGAACTACGATATGATACAGCAATCCCACTACTGGGTATGCATCCAAAGGAAAGGAAATCAGCACGGCAAAGAGCTAGCTGCGCCCCATGTTCACTGCAGCATTACTCCAAATAGTCAAGATGTGAAAAGAACCTAAGCGTCCAGTGCACGGATTAAAAAAACAGCGTTCATGCACGCTCCGTGGAGTACTACGCAGTCTTAAAAAGAAAACAAGGGAATCCTGTCATGTTACAATAATACAGATGAACTTTAAGGACATTATGGTAAGGAAAATAAGCCTGACAAAGGAAGGCAAAAACTGCATGATCTCATCTGTATCTGGAATTTTTTAAAAGGTTACATTCCGAGTAACAGAGAAGAATGGTGGTCAGTGGGAGCTGCGGGCGGGTGAGAGGAGGAGACACCGATCGAAAAGTGAAGTCTCAAGCTGTCTGAGGCGTAAGTGCCGGAGGCCCACGGTGCAGCACGGTGCCTCTGCTCAGCAACGCCGCGGTGCACGCTTGACTCCCTCTAAGAACACTGATCTCAAGCTCTCACCATCCGCTGACAACGCCAGTGTGTGCGGGGATGAGCGTGCCAACTAGCTTGGGACACTCACTTCACCAAGTCTAATACTGCTGTGCACCTTGAAAACACAGCGCTGTCAGTCATACCCTAATAAAGCCAGGGGAAACAAGGAGAAAAGAGAACAAGGCAAGGCTCAGAACAATGAAAAAGGGGATTCATTAAAAGAAATCTGGAAGGATGCTACAGTGACAGAAACAATCACAGAACAGTCCTTTCGAAAGTCCATCGGGAAAACTATGCACTGTGGAGGCCGCACGATCTGTAACTTCTTTCTCCGAAACGTTTTCCCTTGTCCTTCTCGCACCTTCTTGACTTGGCTGCCGCACATTTATGACATGCTACGTGCTCTGCGGTGACCGCTGAGACAGTGCTCGGAGCACTCTGAACAGACGAGACGGGAGGGGGCTTGAGAAAGGCGAGCAGCTCTTGCTCCAATGTGAGCGGCTGCTCCAGGGTCAGCCTGGCTTTTAGGCCACCAGGAAGCCACCAGGAAGTGTGTGCCTCCTGCCAATTCACACTCAGCAACACCCACAGCAAGCAGCTGAACTTCTGCGCCCAGTGAGCCCGACGGTGCCGATTCTGAGGGCCTGCTGTGAGCAAAGATGGCTCGTGCACCGCTGGGCATGCAGCAAGTAGCCCTGGGAGCCTCAAAGCACATAAAGTGCACATGGTGTGGGTCCCCAGGGCTCGGAACCCGGAGACACCTGCACAGGACAGACCTGCACCCACAAGCCCACAGCTGAAGCTAAAATTCAGGCACACAAGCCACGGAGAGAAGTCTGTAGAACAATGGCTCTGTCTCCAGCTCGTGGATGATCTGGGTCCAACAAAAACATAATGTGGGCCGTGTAATGTTGTTCTAAATTTTCTAGTAGCTACATTACAACAAATAAAAGGAAGCAGGTGAAGTTACCCTTAATAATATACTTTATTTCACCAAATATACTCAAAATATCATTTCAACATGTAAGAACTGAATATAAAAGTACTAAGATCTTTTAGATTTTTTTTTTCTTTGCTGTACTAAGCTTTTGGAATTTGGTATTTGACACCGCATAACTCAGTTTGGATGAGCTGTATTCCATGTGCTCGGCAGCCATACAGGACAAACGGCCACTACCACACTAGACAGCACAGGTCTCCAGGGCAGAGTGGTTCCCCAAGGCTATGGTTTGGGTAAGGCTCCCCCAAAGGCCCGCGTAGCAAAAGGCTCAGCTGCCAGCCTGCGACACTACTGAAGGTGGTGGGCTCTTTCGTGGGGGCCTACAAGGAAGTTGGGTCATTGGGACTGTGTCCCTCACAGGGACATTGTGACCGCAGCCCTTCTACTTCCTGTTCTTTTTGCCCCCCAGCAGCCACAAGGAGAGCAGCTCTCCCTGCCATCATGTTCTGCCTCACCCTAGGCCCAAAAGCAATGGCGCCAACAAACCATGGACTAAAACCCCTGAAACTGTGAGCAAAAGCCAATTTCTTTTTAAATTGATGACTTTAGATGTTTTTCACAGTGACAGAGAGCTGACATACTTGGAATATTTGGAATCTGGCTTGCAATGGGCTCTACTTCAGCTGAAGACAACTCACCATGACTCGTCCTAACCTCTTAAATGCTGCTGTGTGTGAAGATGTGCTCATGTCCACCCTCTCACTGCTGTTATCTGACTTCGTCAGAACTTTCCTGACTGCCCCTGCTTCTGGCCTGACGTGGAAAGTCTCTCCCAGCTTCCTCCTCTACTTACGCTAACAGGAAAGCTGAACGGACCGGCAGGCTCTCCAGACTCTCTGTGCCCGTGATCACACTTCTGAAGTAGAATACGGCACCAGCAGAGAAGGGAATCCGTGACCTCAACTAGTTTTGAGCTGGTTTTTTTTAGCCAGAGCCAAAAAGACAACTAAAAAATGCTAACTGAAATGACCACCCTTAATCTGAAATAACTGCATCATATGACAGGTACCACAACACAAGGTAAGGTTCTGGAGGGCCATGTGTGTATGCACGTGCGTGCGTGTAGGGAGTGGCTGCGGAGATAACACTGTATGACCTTGTTTTACAGTTCTAGAACAGAATCTGCATAGACAAGGACTGTGAATCTGGGACCAATTCAGAGCTACTGGAAGCAGTTCTACCGCACTGGGGTAACAGCAGCAGGAGTGAGTCGGATGGAGATGAGATTCTGCATTTGAAATGACAGAATGCATCAAAAGAAAACAAGATCCAAGGGCTATCACAAAGGCCACAGCAACTGTGAGTGCAAAAGTGAGCAGGTCCGCACAGGACCTGGATTCCTCTCAGAAGGACGACTGTTGAATGCTGAGGCCTGGTGACCACCACAGGAAAGGCCCACGGAGGCCACCTGAGCAGCAACAAGCATGCGCAGCTGCCCCTATGTGTGCCCTGCTCTCCAGGGACATGAGGCTGCCTGAGGGGGCTGCCAAGATGAGATGCTCTCCGCCTGAAGAGCTGTGGATGCCCTAGGGAGAAGAGAAAAAGAGCATTAAAATTTCTACTCATTAGCAACTGGCTTTTTAAAAAGGCCGGGGATGTAGCTCAGCGACAAAGCGCATGCTTACCATGCACAAGACCCTAGGTTTGATCCGTGGCACTCAAAAAACATTTTACAGGAATAAAAATAAAACTAAAAGGTCAGAAGAGGTATTCTAAACAGCTGGCTCAAGATGAAATCTGCACTGTCTGTGCACTTTCAGATACCTGCTAGACCCCACTCACATGCAGAAGGCCAAACTAAAATTTCAGGGTGGGCTAATTTATTGAGCTTGAATTCTTATGTTGTAATTTACTCCCTGCAATATGTGCCCATGAGCAGAGACATAAAAATATTTACAAACTGGTGTTTTTTAATAGCAGGATTTGCCTGACTTTAAAACCCTCAAGATTTTCCTCAGGACAAGGAAGGACAGACGGATGTAGAAACTCACTCTGGAAGCTTATGCCAAGTTTTAACTCACACTTCAAAATCAAGTGGACACACTTTTTCTGGGGAAAAGTGTGCTGGGTAAAACTCCCACTGAAACATAAATAGACCCCAGAAGTCCGATCGATAAGACAAAGGACTGATTTTTGAAAAGAGAAAACAAAATCCACAATCGTTAGCTAAACTAAGAAAAAAATATAGAAAATTAAATAAAAATCAGAGATAAAAAATGAGACACTACAACTGATACCACAAAAATACAAAGGGTCCTAAAAGACAATAGTCCTTTTACTATTGTGTACAACAATTATATACAACAAACTGAATGACCTAGAAGAAACAGATAAATTCCTGGAAACATACAATCTACCAGGATTGCATTATGAAGAAACACAAACTGTGAACAGACCAATAATAGGTAAAGAAATCAAGTCGGTCATAAAGAGTACCCCATCAAAGAAAATCCCACTTCTAAGTTCTATAAATCTATGGACACTTACAAAATAGAAATAGAACAGAGATCCCAGGAATAAATCTATAAATTTACAGTCAACTGATATTTTAACAAATATACCAAGAACATACAAGAAAAAGACAAGTGTCTTCAATAAATAGCATTAGGAAAACTGGATATTCATAAAAAAAAAGAGTTTAGATCATTCTCTCACCATATACACAAACAGTTCAAAACTGATTAAAGATAAATATAACAACTAAAACTAAGGAAATTACTAGAAGAAACTATAGGGAACATGACACTGGCTTGAGCAATGTATCTTTTTGGCTATGACTTCAAAAGCACAGGCAACAAAAGCAAAAATAAAACAGATGAGATTTTCTAAAACTGAAAAACTTTTACATAGTAAGCAAAACAAAACAAAGAAACCAAAAGAATAAAGAGAAAATCTGCAGAATAGGAGGAAATATTTGCAAGTCATATAAGGGATTACTACCCCAAATATACAAGAAACAACGCAACAGCAAGAAAACAAGCAACCTGATTAAAAATGGGCAAAGGATCTGAACAGACATTTCTCAAAAGAAGACATCCAAATGCCTTACCGGTACATGAAAACATTTTCAGTATCACTACTCGTCAAGGAAATACAGATCAAAAGCACAACATCATTTCACTGTTGTTGTCAAAGAGACAACAATACCAAGTGTTGGTGGAGATGGGGAGAAAAGCGAACCGTGGTGAGAATGTCAATTGAGAGAGCCATTATGTAAAAGAGGATATAGTTCCTTAAAAGTGCGAAACTACTACATGACCCACAGCCCCACTACTGGGTATGTATCTAAAAGAGAGAAGAGATACCGTGCGCCGAGGTTCACTGCAGCAACACCCGAACAATCAATATACGGAGCAAACCTGACACTGTCAACAGAAAAGTGAGGGATAAAATGTGGTACACAGACACAATAAAATACTATTCAGCCATAAAGAATCAAATTCCATCATCTGTGAGACCATGGATGAAACCAGAGGATGTTATGTTAAGTGAAATAAGCCAGGCACACAAAGACAAGTACTAAATTATTTCACTCATGGTGTAATAAAAAAATGTTGCTCTCATTTGCAAGAGATCCGGGGACCAAGAGAAGGCAGGAAGGAGGAGTGGGGAAAGGGAAGGGGATGTAAGAGTAAGATGTGGTGCGCACACTGACCACTCCCCTTGATGAATGGGGTCACTGTGTGCTGAAGCACATGCTAATAGAAATCAGCATTCACAATTCTGACCCCACAGACCTGAAGAGAAGAGCGGTACCTGCAGCTGGGGTGTCTGGAAAGGGTGTGGGCAAGTGCTGGTCAAAGCACACAAAGGACAGTGAAGCAGGAGGAAGAAGTTCACCGCATCTGGCAGGCAGCATGCTCACTACTGTTAATGATTACTCTTCTTGAGAAATGTAAAAAAAGTATACCTTAAGTGCTCTCGCCACAAAAATGGTAACTACAAAAGGCTATGCATTTGTTACTTAGCTGGATTCAACAATTCCACTATATATCAAAACATTACATTGTGTAAGATAAGTAAAAATCAACCTAAAATCAATCCATTCCAATAGCTTAAGAAATAGGCAATCTAATACCTTTTCCAGCAAAAAAGCAAACACTCCACATCCCTAATATTCTGCTCCTCAGCAAAAACCCAACTGTCAAGTCTGAGGATCCAACAGGACCATGACACACAGATCATTTCACTAATGGCTTTTGCTCAAGAAAAACTGGGGAACACCCTTAAAAGCCACACTGCATTTGTGGGCAAATCGGTTTCCTAAGTACATCTATTCTTGCTTAATAAAAATGCCAGGTTCCTCCAGGTGAAACAACTGCTCTTCCCATCTACCTCTAAATTCCTGGATTTCAAATCAGAAGACAGAAGCAGGGTTGGAAGCGAGTGGGACCAGCTGGTGGGTGTCTCGGGGATGCAGAGCCTGGCCCAGAGGTGCAGCTTTTTCTTACTCTACAAAGGTCCTGGCTACAGGATGTAAAGTCACCTCCGGTCTATGGTTTGTGCGGCAGACCTTTAGATGTTTCTCTCAATGCCTAGTCATTTCTAAGATGTATAATTGATTAATCTCCAGTTTCTAAAGATAATGCCCAGAGATTCCAAGAGTTCTCTGGCCCTGGTTTTGTCAGTGCCAGAAAGGCGGAATTAAGTTTGGGGAAAATCACCATCACTGGGAACCTGCCTTGTGGTTTCCACCCTACAGAGAAGGCTCCAGAAATGTGTTACGATAAGAGAACAAGGAGCCCAGAGACCTAAAAGAAGCTCCCCTGAGGTTCAGCGATCAAACTTTAGAGGACATGCGAGGCATGATGGTGCACACTTGTTATCCCAGCACTTGGGTGGCTGAGACAGGAGAATCTGTAGCCTGGGCTACAAAGTGAGTTCAAGGCTAGCCTGGACCACAGAGCAAGACTCTGTCCCAAAAAAACAAAAAACAAAAACAACAAAAAATTTAGGGGACATGAACAAACATGGCTGGAGGCCACCATCACTTGACTATGGTTTGTCACCATCAAAACTCATCTTGGCGTGGTCCCTGGTAAAATGAATGCAGAGGTGCTGAGGTCCTGAAGGGGTGACGGGCTGCCGAGGAGGGCTATGTGGTCCTGGGGCTCTTGAGGCGCGCTGGTGTAAGCCAGCCCGCACCTCCCTCTGTCTCTCACCTTATGCACTTTTCTTCACACCCTCTTGACCTGCTTTTGCTACCATGTTATGAAGCAGCACCAAGTCCTCCCTGGATGTGGCTGCCCGATTTTGAAATTCTCAGCCTTAGAACTGGAAGGCAAAATAAATCTCCTTTCTCTCAAAATCACCCAGTCCTAAGTGCTCTGTTACAGCAACAGAAATGGACTGAAACAGTGGGCGAGCTTTGGAGTGAGGTGCTAAGAAAGGGCAGACTGTTAATCCAGTCTACTAAATCTTTCAAAGTTCCCTGGATGGTGTGACACTAAAAACAGAAAGAACAAGTAAGGAAAAGGAGACTTTCAGAAGGTGCAAGTGTAAGCCAGCACAGCAAGATCGACAGTTGATCGTGTCACCCTGGTATAACCTGTCTTACTAAATTAGTAGAGAGCAATGTAGTTACGCTGGGTGAATGCCTAAAACCTTAGGAAGAGAAGACAACAGTGTAAATGCTATGGTCTCCCACAAGATTTACCCAAGTACCTCCACACTGCTAGAATACTGTTTCACCCTGATCACTGCTTTACGTAGGTAAGTTTATATAGTTGTTTACATAGTGTTTACAAAGATATAATCATTTAAAATATGTGACAAGATCTTCGTTTTTAAGGAAAGCTCCTGGGTAACTCTTAAAAATGAAGAAGGTTTTGATGAAAGAATCTGCAGGGTGAGTTTGCTCTTTTGCAGAAATGCACATGGACACGAGCCGCCTGGCCCCAACCGGGTTACAGCTGAGCGTTCTGCATTAACACCAGACACCTGCCCTCCCCGACTCACCTGGGCACCAGAAGTCCTGACCCTCGCTCTTCTCCCTCTGGGCTGCCATGTGCCCATTTTCTTCCCACGTGACGATGCCCTTGGAGATGGAGGGCGGGTGCCCCCCTTTCCACGCCCGGTCTCCCCCGCTCGGGGACACGGGGCCCCGGGGCTGCCAGGCCTGGCCCCGCTCGGCCTTCGGCTCCTCGTCCTCCTCTGTGCCCTCCGCGCTCCTGAAGCTCAGGCTCCGCATCCGCGACACCGAGCTCACCTCCTTCATTCTGATCAGGCGGTCGGGGTCCGCCCTCCTCGGCGGGGACGCCAGTTTCTCTTGCAAACTTTCGATCACTTTGGAAGGGCTTCTGAGCCTCTTTTCCAAACCTGACACACTTGGGGTCCTTTCCATAACGTGGAGCAATGTGGACCTGAAGGGTGGTTTTGGCCCCATCAGCTTTTGCTCCAGAGACTTGGACTCCAGAGGGCCAAGCTGGGGCTCGGGGCTGGTGTCTTGGCTGGCGAGGACCCCGTCCACAGCTGAGTGCTCAGAAGCCTGGGGGGCCCTGTCCCCCACAAAAAGGGGGCTCTGGGTCCAGCCACACTTCCTCCTACCATAGAAGGCATCTGTGGTCACTGTAGGGCCAAGTGACGTTGCTGAGCTGGGCAAGGACTCCTCCCTGGGCGGCTCCAGGCTGCAGGCACTTGCATCAGGCTCAGGGGGCTGGCTCGGCCCTGCTGTCCTGGTGCCCGGCAGCAGGGACTCCATGGCCACCTCGATGCCCAGGATCCTTGCCGCCCTGGCCTGCAGCGACTCGCTCAGGGGCATCTCTGTGGCACCCCCTTCACCCGGAGGCCTGACTAGCTCACGGGCACTCGGCTCAGGTCCCATCATGAGCCCAGCGGACCGCAAGTCCGGTGCGGAGAGGCCCCGGCTCTTGTCAGTAAGGGCCAGCGGGACCCCCAGGCCCCTCTCCTCAGCACTGTCCACCTCCAGGGGATCCGCTCTGCTCAGCTGCACAGAGCTCAAAGCATCAGTGAACTTCTCACTTCCTGCTAGCTCCCTTGGCTCAGCCAGCCAGGAAAGGGTAACTGGTTTTGTGTCACTGGGTCTTGAAGATATCACTCTTTTCACAGGACCTGGGCTGACTTCGAGCTCACCTGCTCCATTGACAATCTCCTGCCTCCGCTTCTCTGTCACCCAGTTTTCATCCACTGACCCAAGAGGGTCACCTGTGCTGTCTAGCACCTGCGAGAAGCCGGGGGCCCGAGGGCGGGCAGGCAGGCGCCCAGCCTTCAGCTCCTCGCTCTGGCTCTCAGACTCACTTTTCACTCTTCCTGACCAACATCCGGGATCCTGCAGCACCAGCTCCCTCGGCTGCGGCTTGACTCCCTTTCCCTGGCTGTCTTCACAGAAGCCCCAGTTCCTTGGCCTGGAACCAACACAGCCTTCCTGTCGTTCTATCTCGTTTTCCTCACTGCTGCTGCCGCTGCTGCCATCAGGGCTGTCTTCCTCTTCTTGAATCTCCTTATTAAAGCTTTCCAGCTGACTGATCAGATCCCACGGGCGCCGGCTAACTGGTTTCAGAAGAAACTGACCAAACAGCTGCTTACTGTTGCAGGGGCCTGCTGTGGGCTCCCCCTTCACCACCTCCGGTTTGAGGACATCCAGGCAGGGCTGACTCTGGCCAGCTTTTGGCACAGGTGCCTGGCTGGTGGATGGGGAAGTCCTTGAGAAAGCACTATTGCTGGACGGACTGAGGGACATCTGGCCCTTCAGGTTAGGAGCATATGCCTTCCGTTTGTGGTCACTGGGCCCGAAAGGCACATGCATGTGAGTGTCAGTGGGATCTAAACATTTTGGGGTTGGGGCTGTGCTACTCAGCACACCCAGCGTCGAAGCAGGGAGGAGCTGTGAGCTTTTAGGTTCTTCAGGGAAGCTGGTTTGTGTTTGCTGGTCCCGGTACTGGTGCCCTGGCCACGAGCCAGAGTACTTGAGCTCTCTGTGCTTTGCAAGGTGCATGAATCTGAGGTCATCTGTTTGTTTGTCTCCGTCTGGTTCCCCTAGATCTTGCTTCGGGAACTCTGTTTTTCCAGCCATGCTCCTCGTGAGGGCCTGCAGCTCCAGGTCAGTGGCAGACATGCTCAGCAGACTTTGCTCCTGCAAGGCTGGGCTCTTATCAGTCCCGGGCTTTTTATCAGCTCTCTGTTTTAAGTCATTGTTGTTCGTATCTATCTCTGGCAGATGGGATTCTGATTTAACTGGGATGGAAACCAAACAAAATATAGTCTCATTCGTTTTTTTCTTTGAACTTTTCTTGGTCTGCATCCCAGTTTCAAACATTCTGAGCTTGGTCCGGGTTTCGCAGGCCCTCTCACTGCCTTGTGGGTCTGGGGAGGAAACATGGCCCTCTGCACGGCCGTGCTGGCCACCTTCCCCTGGGGCCTGCTGTCCTCTCACAACGCAGCGTTCTCTTTGGTCAGGGAAGCCTGCATCTTCTCCATCCCCGCGGAGCTGGCCCCAGAGCCACGGTGGGCTAGGATCCACAAAGGCCGGGCCCCTCTCAGTCCCCAGTGGGGGTGTCAGGCTCCGTGCCTTCAAAACGGCACTGTCACGGTGCCTCTTCTCCTGAGCTGGCTCCGAGGCAGGAACAGGACCAGCGTCGTAACATCTATCATCAGGCTTCACTTCTGCACAGAAACCCAGAGGCGGAGCCAGTCTGATATGGCGGATCCGCGGGTCATCAAAGGGAATGTACTGAATGGAGCCTTCGCAGGTGGGGGCGACAGGACGAGGGTGTGCAGGGAGACCGCGCAGGGCGCCTGGGCTTGCACCAGGTTCATTCCCAGTCCTGAAGAGGCCGGGAGGAAGCGGATCGCTGGGCCCAGGCTTTTCGGTGGGCTGGTACTGTGGGCCATGGCCACCACTCCCCTGTCTGGGCACCGGCTCCTCCAGGTAGGGGTTTGGGATGTGCTGGGGAGGCGACCTGTATGAAGGCGGAGGCACATACACCGGGGGCTCCAAGCTGCAGTCTGGCACACTGGGCTCATGCCTGGGGTCGCTGCTTCTGGTCAAGCAGGAACCGGGCAGGTCCATCTGCTGGCTGTCCTGAAGGGCGCCCCGTTCCCTGCTCCTGGGCTGTGGGTGTGGCCCATACGGAGGCTTGAGGGGTCTCCCAAACTTAGGCCGGGGGAATGGGGCCGAGGAGCCAGCCTTTTCGGGGTTTTTGGTCAATTCCAACTGGGGAGCACGATCGGGAGGATGCGGGGGCACTTTGGGAACACCTGGTAAGTGTCCATCGTTCAGTGGAATGGGAATTTCCATGTAACTCAGGCTCTCAGGAGAAAGGACTCGAGGCAACGACTGGGATTTCTTCCTGCTCTGAGAAGTCAGTGCATGCTCTCCTTGAGTGAATGGGTACAGACCCTGGAACAGCTTCTCCCCGTCACCATCGGACATCTGCCTTCCCAGCTCCCTCGGCTGGCTCCAGCTCTCGAGGCTTACATTCTGCCATCTGGCAGCGCTCGACATCCTCGGCTCTTCTTCCCAAACTGCTTTCTTCACCACATGCTCGGTCCTTCCTCCGACATCCCACGGGCCCTCCCTCATGGGCACAGGCAGACTGTGGGCTTGGGCCACCCTTCTGACCTCAGCGTCATCCCGGTCCCGCGGGCCCAGCAAGCTGCTGGCCTTCTGGCCTCTTCTCCAACAGGCCTGGTCGTTACCGATCTGGGGCTGAGAGGACCATGCTAAGGCAGGTTGATTATAAAACCTACAAAACAAAAAGAGGCATGGATATGATTCACAGAAGAAATGTGCCCTTCTTGCTGCTGTGACTGGTCTTTCGGGTCAAACTTAGGTCAGCACCTTCAAAACACTTGTTCCCACACTATTTGCCAACTTTAAGAAAAACAAGTCCCACTTGCTATGGCTGGAAAACAGCCACACGTTTTGCCATCAAGGGCTCCGGAATAGCAGCACCAGGCGGCCCCCAGGGTCACCAGGGATGCCGGTCGTACTCCAGAGATGCCGAGGTCCTTACAACCTTAAAACACCCAAGGGCCTCAGGGTATCACGGAGTGTTCCTGGACCACTTGCACTACAGGCCTGGCTCAGTATGACCTACTGAGAGCCACTTATAATAGCTGTGAGCCCTAAACTCTGCGTCAGCGTCACTGACAGGTTCCCAAGACAAAGACTGCCGAGTGCTACACTGTGGCTCTGACTCACTGTGATTGGACAGGGCTCCATACTTCGCACCTCTAACAGGTTTCCAGGGGAAGGTGCTGCTGGCCCTGGGACTTTACTCTGCTAATGGTTGTCAAGCACACCCAATACTGCCGTGCGTTAAAAAATCCCAGTGTTCCAGGCTGCATGCTGGGTAGGTTACCTGAGAATCCTGGCCATGAAAATCCCCCCAGGTTCCCCCAGGTGCTCCCAGCAAGACATATCCCACAGAACCACACTTCAAGGAGCAGCGGACTACATGTGTGCCAACGGTCCCTTCCCTTAGAGTGGAGCTGGAAGATCCCTAACACTTACTGACCTCACAGCTACTGCGACGTCACGTTGTAACCCATCCCCCGTGGTGAGGCTGATGAAAACGTATCTGCTGCCCAGCTGGTTCTGTGCCACATGGGATATGCAGACACCATACTGGACACGGTAAGCAGCGGCTGTGCCATGGATTTATGTAGGTCCTAAACCACCTTTATCGTACGTCGTGTACTTACTTCAAACTGACTGTGAGACAGCACACTGCGCCGTACTGGCAGCGCTGCGAACGTTCTGTACTCAGCTTCACGTCCACTAACCAGGTGTGCCACCTGTCAAAATCGCCTGCTCATGCGGCTCTCAGCGTCCAGTCTCCCCCCACGAGCTCTGTGTCTGGCCCCAAGATCTGCATTTTCAACAAGCTCTCCAGGGATTCTTTCAGATGGCTAGGAAACAGTGCTAGGACTGGCCCTGAGACCGACCGAAAGAGGGGCCTTTGCTCACGGGAGGCAGGAAAGGTCCAATGGAGCAAGTGGCTGTGCACTGCCTGCTCTACACAGAATGTCGCCGTCAGCCCTTAACAAATGCGCACACCAGGGCCCGCTCCCAGGGACTTGGGTCCGACGGGTCTAGACAGCCCAGTGCAGGCCTACTCCAAAGCCTCCCCAAGCAACGCTCGCACGCGCCCAGGGCTTAGCGTCCCTGTTCTAGGGCAGGTCAAGGAAGTCTCTGAACAGCACCGCACACTGCGCGTGAACAGAGACACTCCTCACACACGGCCAGGCTCCAGGGCCGTGACACAGAACACCACGGGCTGGGGCAGGCCCGGGAGACACAAGCGTCTCGCACAGGCTGAGCAGAAGCATGTTTCAACTGCAGTATCACTGTTTTTGCAAATTATTAAAGTAAAATATATTCACTGTTGAAATCAAATGTTGAAAGAATACAGGAAAGTACCAAAACCAAGAATTACCTGTAAACTCCCTACCCACAGTTAGTCACTTTAATATGCATCTTCTGGTCTGTGTGTGTGTGTGTTCTTCCAACTGCCTCCATATTCTCCCAGGGACGTCTGTCCCTACACCTGTCTAGGTGACAGGTTAGGGTTAGGGTTAGGATGTTGTGTGCCAGGTCCACACTCAGGGCTTCTGTCCACCTCCTCACTTTGGGCTCACCAACATCCTCTCAGGTAAGAATGACTGTCGTTCCATCTTACTGAGGAGGAAACTGAGGCACAGAAGTAATTTACTTAACACTAACACTTATTGGTCATTTCTGCCATGTCAGGTAGTATGCTAAGCGTGTCGAGAGTTATTTCATTTAAACTTACTCCTTTGATAAGGAAAGAAAGGAAACTGAGGCACAGACAGATTAATCAACTTTCCAAAGCTACAGTTTGTAAGAAGCTGGGACAGAATTCTAACCTGCAAAGAGTGAACATAACAAGTGCTTTTCATTTTTTCAGTGCTTCTCCCAATCCCTGAAAGTGCTTGACTTTTAAGGACAAACAGTATTCCATGATACACATATGTGTATATATAAAAACATATATTTATATGTATTTATCCACACATATGTGGCTTACGTAACTTCTGCGCCAACCGAGAAACACTAACTGCAGGTTTATTTAGGGTAAGTTAGGGTTCTGCTATTTATGTAATCCTTAGGACAGGAACGAGTAGGTCATGGTGCACATCAGCAAGTTGACCTCAGAAAAACTGTTCCAATTTATAGTCCCATCTGTCATGCAGAGGACAGCTGGCCTTGCTGAATGTTTTCAACCCTACTTATTATAATTTTTTTTCCTTATTAGATGAATAAAAATAACTTTTCATTATTTTAATTTGAATTTCTTTGATTACTGGTAAGGTCATTTTTTTCATGTGCTTAGGAGTCACTCAGCCACGGTTTGGAGTTTCAAATAACTTCTACAATGCAGACCACTTTTCAGCTAGTGGGGGGCAGAGTACAGACTCCGAGGTGGGGAGATGCTCAAAGCCACTGGCCCTGTGCAACCGGGCATGACAACCTGACCAATAACTGAGCTGAGGGCAGCATCCCAACACGTCAAGAAGCCCCTTGTGAAAAGCTACATTACTATTACTACTCTTTTCTTTGTATCGCTGGGGAGGGAACCCAGACCCATGCATATGCTAGGTATGTGCTCTCCGATCGAGCCACTTCCCCAGCCCCTTTAATATTACGATCTCATTTTGGAATTCTCTGCCTTGGAAGGTGAGGATAACTTCTAAAGAACTTATAAAGCAGGCACTGACAGTACAGCACAGCTATGGGTAGAAAATATCTTCATCATTTTAAGGCAAAGCAAGTGCCACTGAATGGCCTGGATGTTTCTCATACAGTACTTGCATGTAGTGCAAGCTGTCAAGCCTGGGCATGGGAGGAGGCCACGATTTCCTTTTTGCTTTTGTTGGTATCGAAGTCATGTTTTGGGGTACTTCGGGTTTTCAAGGCTAAGCAGAGCACTTCTTGGGTCAGGTTCAATAAGGAGTGATCATTTTGGAAGCCACCGCTCCTAGCCCCACCCACCCAGGTGAGCCAGCCCTCTGCTCGGAAGCTGCCATCCCATCCTTTAAGGACTCCTGTGTGCTGCCCACAGTATGAGAAACTGAAGAAGACGAAGCATTTAAAACCCTGCAGTACCTACTTGGCTATAAAGCATCAGATTCTAGGACAAGAGTTAAAAACTCTGACTTAAGACACTGCAACTGTCATAGGCTGAACTGGTAAAGAGGTAAATACAGTCCATCGTGAGGGAAGATGTGGCCAGCACCCTCTTGTGTCTGTTCTTCAGCCAGTGGTGAGCAGCCCCCGGACTGAGGACCTCATCTAGCACCACCCTGATTCCTGAATCACAACTGCCTTCTGGCGTGGAGGACTTCCTGAGCAGCAGCACTGGGGCGCAGCTCATGTTTTCAATGGTCACTGCGGTGTCACAGGACCGTGCTGTGCTTGGAGAGGTGGCTGGAACCCTAAGGTGCTGTTTGTGATGCGCATGCCCTGAGCATGATGAGCAGACAGATAAAAAATGACATAAAGAGGACAAGAATATAAACAGTGACTTTCCTGCAGATATAATGGGGTCAGTTTTGTTCGCCATACAAAAATGCTCTACCCTTAACTTTGCCAAAACTAATCAGAACGGCTGAACATTGTGGGTGAAACTTTTTCCGGTTGCACAATACACCAAAATCCCAATTTAAGGAAACAAGTTACTGGGAATATTTTAAATAGTCTATTATAAAATACAGTTCATATGCAGCAGAAAACTAAGAGGCATTTATTTAACCAACACCTATTTTGAACCTAGCCTGAGCCAGGCTCTGACAGACACGGCGTGGAACCCACAGGAAGGAAGTTCCGGTAAACCCTTCCCTTGGGCAGGCTATCTCGCGTTCATTCTATCAGCTTTACAGTCGGGCCCCCACTGCCATTTAACATGTACGCTAACTCACTCCTATGGCTTCGAAGACAAGAACAGGTTTTCTAATACCTCTGAGGAAAAAAGGATGAGATCGAATTTTTCTTTTTAAAAAATGAAACTAATGATTTACATCTAGAAAGAAATGAACAATGGGGCTCTTTTCATAAATACATAAACATGCTGAACACACTGATCCAGGAAGGGAAAAAGATAACGCAGCCGAGTGGAATGTGAGCACCCAAAGCAGCTGTGGACACACGTGAGGGACAGGCAGGTCTTCAGGCAGAACTCCCGGGAGAAGCGGACAGGGACAAGGCCACATTTTACCACAGAGAGAAGCAATGAGGCCGAAGATAACTGACAAAAATGTCTGCAAAGCACTGTACGTGAAACATGCACGTGTGGGAAACAACTTGTCTGAGGGAAACTCAGCAAACTGCTGAGCGTGGAAGAGCTCAGTGAAGGGAAAATTCGGAGAAATCTCTTAGACCACTTGGCTCCTTTTCACTCACAATAAAAAAAGTCCTTTCATTTTAGTTTTCACAGCATCAGGGTTCAAGCCAAGGTCCTTCTGCACACTGGGCAAGTGCTCTACCAGTGAGCCACATCCCCAACCCTGCCCTTCTTATAGGAAGTAAACCTCTGGTGCTCAGAAGAATAGCAGCGGGAGCTGACTTAAGCACCGTTTCCCAGGCTCTAATATGATGATCTTCTCAGTAGACTCCAGTGTTGTATGCGCCACACCGCCCTGGGACCATCTGGCACAGCAGCCTAGAACTGTGCCAGGTAGCTGGGGGGAGCAAGGGGTATGAGACTGAAGTGCTGCTTGCCTG